GGGAGGCGGGGGGGAGGAAGCTCCGTATTGGCCGTCGACGGGCTTGACCTTGCGGCGACGACCTCGGCGATCGAGAGGGCGACGGCGAGGACGGGGAGGGGCCTAGCGGCCGCCATCGCAGCCGTTTTGTCGACCGGCGGCGGCACCGCCGAAGGCATGGATGTCGACGACGAAGACGACGGCAACGGCGGGAACCACCACAAGCGGGAATCGAAAGCATCGACTAGTAATGTTTGCGGTGGCGCTGGCGGCGGCACCGCCTCCGGTAACAGGGGCTCGACGGCGGCGCCGGCGGCGACAATGAGGGGCCGGGCGATGAGCCGGCTTCCGAGGGACCAGGAGGAGAGGAGGGCGGAGACGAGCCCACGGCGCCCGCCCCCCCGGCGGAGCAGCACCGGCAGCATGCTCCAGAAGCTCTTCAACAGCAGCAGCGGCCCGCACCAGCCGCAGAAGGGCAAGGAAGAGGCCGCCACTGCCGCCGCTGCCGCCGGCGGCGTGACGGCTTCTTTGGTCTCTGTCAGCCTGTCCAGCTCGGGAGACGCCGGTAGTACCGCCGACGGTATCGTTTTGGCGGCAGAAAGGGCGACGCAGGCAGCGGCGGCGGCCGTGGTACCGCTCCCCCAGACGGCGGAAATGCCGCTGCACAGGGCGCCGCGTTTCGAGCCGTCGCCGCCTCCACCGCGAGGCTTGGCGGCCGCGGGGGAAGCCATGGCCATGGAGACCGTGGAGACCGTGGCGTTAGAGCTGCCGCGGTTCACGGGCGCGGGCATACCTTGCCCCACCCCGAAGGAGGAGGAGGAAGCGTCCGCACCATCCGTGACGACAAAAACAGCGCCAGGCGGCGCGCTTTCTCTCGACAAACCCGCCGCACGCTCGGCGGCGGTGACTAGGTGCGGCTCCGAACGGGGCGGCGGTGGGACGGGCGGGAGCGGCGGTGGTTTAGCCGGAGAGGAGAAGGTGGTGGCGGCGCCTGCGGCGGCGCCGGCCACAAAGAAGCGGAGAGCCAAGTCGCTTCCCCCCGTTCCGCTGCGCAGGCCTCGCCTGGAGTCTCGCCCCTGTCTGGCGGGCCCCTCGTCCGTCATCCAGAACCTCACGCTTTACGACGACGGCGGCAGCGGCGAGGACGACGACGCGTGGGTGTTGAGCGAATGGCTAGCACACGGGGCCGCTTCGGCGACGGCAGCGGCGGGCGGCGGAGGGGAAGTGGGGGGCGGGGGTGACCCTCCGCCACCGGCCGCTGCTAAGCTCTTACCACAAAGGCGTGCAACTACGTTAGTGGGTTGAGGATATATTTTGGGCAGATTTTTTTGTTTTTTTGTACGATAGTGTGAAGAAGAGCATCGGCGTATTTTTGTTTGATGCATTTTGAACATGGAGGCTTGTACTTTGATGGTTGTATACTACCTCGTCCCCTTTTTGGTGGGCCGGCGGGTGTTATTGCTTTTGTGCATCTGATCCACCCGTGGCGCTGATCACACTATTATTATTTTTGCCTTTGTCGTGAGCGGCGGCAAGAGCTTCGCGTCAGCAACCAGCCCGCCACCCAACACTCGTCTGTTTTTCGCTTCGTATTTCAGGCGGCCGGTGCGTGTCATGTTTTGGGGTGGGGTGAGTGCTGTTTTTTTCGCAAACGTTTCGCGCTGCATCCCGCATATGTGCAGATTTTCGGGCGTGTTCGTGTTAGGTGGTCCACGCGATGAAAATGAGAGATGGTGCCATGTAAACGTTTGGATTTTCCGTTGTGCCGTATCCATGTAATACACTATGCGTTTGCATCTCGGAGATGTTTGTCGTAGGTCTGGACGTATATGTACCGTGGTTTTGCTTCCACGTGACGAGACAGTCTTGGTCGTCGGGGGCACCGTGCTGCACGGGGGGGGG